CAAACCTGTGCAATAAGTAAATGATATCTGAAACTTCCCAATCTCTTACATTCGAAAATCAGCAGGTATATTCCCAAAGAGTTCAGAGAAATGGAGATTAACCCGATAAGATGAAAATAGTTGATAAGCCATCTAGGTTCAGAAAAATCCAATTGCATCTCACTCAGCACAAAACTGAATTTGAACACATAAAAACAAAATCTGAAAGAGGCAGGTGAAGACAAATGGTTTTTATGATTTATGCGTTAATCGAAGTTGATTGGATATGAGTAATAAAGCAAATTAAGAAGTGTGATGTTCAAAGTTAAAAAATCAGAACGTCATTCAATGGTTTCAATTTTCAAATATTCAAACAAATGAAAAAGCAGATGGAATAAGTGGTTGCAGTTGCCATTCAAGAATTATAAAATCTCAAGTTTCTTTCCGTTACGCCTTTTTCCTGGTGTGCTTCAAAGAAAAATATTCACTTCACAGGTGGTTCGCGTACCAACGCGAATCGGATACGCAGTCATACAAAACGTATTCGCAACCGAACACGATTCGGATCTTTTTCGTTTAGGATACTGTGCCCATCATCTGATATTTATAAGTTAGCCATATTGACTTCGAGAAGACAATGATAAGCATCAATAACTATGTTCTGACCCTTTTCTTTTCCATATTATCAAGAAGTACAGTAACAGGTTCAAGATACTTATTTTTTAAGCGTACTTATACTTAACTACCATTTGATTTTGGAATGTTATGTTTGTTATATAACAAAGAAAAATAAATTCACGAGCTTATTTATTGTAAAAAATACGCATGAATTCAAAAAAATTAAGTCAAGACTTAAATTCATAAAGTTGTAACTGATATCCCGGCAGTCTTCTTTGTGATCTCTGACCTCTTGTACCTGGAAACAACTGATATTAACCTATTGATAAAACCCAAGCTCACTTTTTCAAAACTCTCAAAATGAATTGTTTGAATGGAGGAAAGAATATCAATAAACTGATCATATTAATCGATGAATGTGTCAGAAACCAAACAATACAGAGCTCCGAAAGTAATTGAGCATTATCCATTTTGAAATAAACTGCTATCAACAAACTAGCAACTGGAGTGGAAGAAAGCAATATTGTGACAGTTTGGATCATCAAACTTCTTACAGCTTCTTTATGTTTCTGATAGTTCTTCATTGAAATGCGAAGTTGAAGACGTTTCATTAAACGAAACACATCTACAGCTAGTAAAATAGAAACAATCACATATCCAGTTGCCAATATAATAAGGAGTAGGAACCCATCAGCAAATATCCGAGATTTTGTATAAAATTCAAAATTGGGGAGGGACTTGAACGAGTCCAAGTATGCAGGATAATTCTGAAATGAATGATTCACTTAGAAGAGATGAGCACAGAAGAAGCTACCAATTCTATAAAATCCCATTGTTCTTGTTTGGAAGAGCGCAGAAAATTGAAAAGAAAACCAATGATAAAAGGATCAAGAATACAAAACGCATATAAAAACATCACGATGAGTTTTGGCAAGACATGAGTATTTAATAGAGTTGCAATAACCTGATGCTTTCTCAAAAAACACATCTGGAGCCATAAAACTTGCAAAACAATAAGAGAAGTGATCATCATCTAAATGTTCATCTCATTTCGGGTTTTTTCTTAAAGGTGGATGAACAGGATAGCCACGGGGACTTTTTCTGGGACTTTTCATGCATTTTTGCGTCAGTCTGTTGCACCTACTGTGTTTGCGGACCTTGTATTACTGTAACACGGAGTTCTCAAACGACTTTCAGTACAACACGCTGGCGCAAAAATGCATGAAATGTCCTCGAAAAAGTCCCCGCAGCTTTCCTGTTCTACCACCTTTGAACTCACAAGCTGATAATGAAAAGAAACGTTGAACCATGTCCAGAGAATACCCGATGAGTATCCAGCAAGTAATGGATAGAATGGTACAGGTTGAACGAGAAACGTGATTGTGAAATCCAATGCAAAGCATGTAACCTAAATACGATAAAACCTAAACAGTTTCCCTTCCTATTAGAATGATCATACAAACCTGCGCAACCAACAAATGATATCTGAAAGTTCCCAACTGTTTACACTCAAAAGTCAGCAAATATATACCAAAAGAATTCAAGAGAAATGAAATGAACCCCACGATGTGATAATAATATATAAGCCATTGTGGTTTTGAGAAGTCAATATTCAGCATTGCAGAAATATGTTCTGTTATATGATGGAGTTTTGTATTCTGTTTATGAAGCAGGTGAAGAATAGGACTGTTTGTCTTTTACACTGATGAAAAACTGAAACTGATTGGATATGATTAATAGAGCAGATGAAAAAAATAAATATGCGGTTTCAAACTTTGTTCAGATATCCGAACAAAGTGATGTTTGACTGAATCAAAAAACCTGGCTCTATTCCAGTTTAGGGGATTCTTAATTAAATAGGGGACTCAAGCCAAGTGACGCAAGAAATAGGGGACTCATCAAGCGTCCAAAAAAAATGGGGGACTCAAAACAAATAAGCTGGAATAAATATGTGCTGGAATATAAAAAATGATCCTTTTGAGTCAAAAATGTTGTAAGATGGTCAAATTAGAAGTTTGGCTTGAAAAATATAACTCTGTTCGAACTGCTTCGTTTAATCTAAAACTCTGTGAAAACACCACTTTTTAGCTCTTTATTGATATACAATAACATAGAAATTTCGGAAAAACTTCATTTGCATCAGGGATTTGGATGGTGCATCATAGATGTGGAAATGGAAGTAGAGATTTTCGAAAAAAGGAAGTTTTTTTTCAGATTTTCCATTTCTAATTTTATTTAAATGAAGATCCGAAGAGTGATGTTTTCACAACTCTTTGGATCAAATGAAGCAGTTTGAACAGAGTTATGTTTTGAGTCCCCCGTTTTTTCGGATACTTGATGAGTCCCTTCGTTTTTTTTTTTGGGCATTCTATGAGTCCCCTATACCTTGCGTCCCCTGACATGAGTCCCCTCTTTTTTTAGAGTCCCCTATTTAATTAAGAATCCCCTAAAGCGCCAAAAACCTCATTGAATGTACATTTGTTTATCAAGTTTTCAAGAATCAACTTTTTTGACACTCATAATTAGAAGAAATCAATAGTCATTGCTACAACAAAACTTTATATAATTGGAACAAATTCACCGACAACCTTGTTTTTCGTTGATGAAATTTTAAACCTGTGACGATTCATATTTTAACGAGTATTCAGAAACAGTGTCATGAGATGCATGCATCACGAGAAGACGATACTTGAACGTACAAATGATTTTGGTCATGTATCTTTGGAAAATGTTAACGAAACGAGTTAACACAAAGAAATCGTAGCTGAAATTTATTGAACGGTACTAGCAAACAGTTCCAGTCAAGTGAACTATCAAATATGAAAAACTGAAAAGAAAAACAAAAAAAAACATTTTGCCCTGGACGGGATTCGAACCCGCGCTGGATTGAACCAATGAGACGACCCAAGGTCTCATGCCTTAGACCGCTCAGCCACCAGGACACACAATCTGAATTATGAGCATCGCTGAGAAAAGAGAGCGCGCAGTGGTATTTGTCGGGGGAATGGGTCCAGCAAGTCCTGTCTTATCAGTCTTTTTTTTTCTAGAAAAAAAACAACTTTCTTTTTAGTTTTCCGTTTTTCTAGGAATGGTTTTACAAGTATTCAAGTTTTGAAACAATTAGTTGATGAATTGCAACCCATAGGATACAAAATTCAGTGAGAAAAATTCAAAAGACGATAGAAATGTTTGTCTTTTACACTGATGAAAAATTGAATCTGATTAGATATAATTAATAGAGAAGATGAAAAAAATTAGACAATGAAAATTGATTAAGAATGAAACAAATAAGATAATGCAAGTTCGGGGTTCATAAATCCAAAAACTCTCTAATATCTTGTTGTTATGTGAAGAAATAAGACCATTTAGTGTCATTATACTAGTTTTGGAACCAAGACGAATTATAGAACTGTGACAGACCCGCCAACAACCTTTTTAAACGGACATGAAGTTCTGAACCTGTAAAAATCCTTCATTTTTCAAGTAACCACGTGAATTATAATGAGAGCCTTACATTTTGAAAACCCTCACAAGGGAATTCCTTCTTGTTCCCACTTTAACTTTTTCTAGAATTTTGGGTACATATAGATTGGACCCTGGAGAATCAGAATCCGTCGTGAAAAGCGGCTAAATACTCACGTGGAGGATGTTGTGACCTAATTTAGAGTTTACATCGCCTATATCTCGCTTCAAAAGAGGTTTTGTGGAGTTTTAAGAAATGTTCGTTGTTGCTCTCGTATATACGAACATTTTCTGACAAATTGGGACCAAACTTTTTTCAGGTCAAAATTCCACCCATGGGTCATAAGTCAGAAATTTTGAAAAAATTTTTTTTTTGAAATTTGTATCATTTTTCAGGTTTCCGAAACTCATATTAAAAAAAAGTTTTAGATAAAAAATTTCGATCACTGGACTTGTGATCACATTCTGTCAAGAAAAAAGAATCTTTCTTCTCATCAAGAATGTTTCCAGTCGAATATAGAAGATACAAAAAGAACTTGAAAAGTCATTCATACCATCTAGTGATCAGGAAAATGGCTCAATAAAATAAAACAAAAATTTTTGAAAAATATTATAACTAGTCGGAACTGAACTCATGTCTTATGTATTGTATTCCATCCTTCTACCACTGAACCACCGAAGCATGATTTTCTACTGTATATGTTTGGGTAGACTAAACGACGGAATAAAGTTCACGTAAAATCCGATTTTCCACTAGAAAACTTTCCGAGGTCATAACTCAAATCACGTGAACATTTAGCCACTTTTTATTTCAGAAATGGAATCTCCATAGACGATTCGGCTCTATCTGCTTTTAGAGGTACATAGGACAAAACAGTCAAAATGGAGGTACACGGTCAAAATGGAGGTACACGGTCAGAATAGAGGTACTTGGTCATAATGGAGGTACATGCCGGAAATTGAACCAGCTTGGCCCCAAAACAGATTTAAGGCAGGAAAGATCATTCTGTGAGCCTCAATTCATATTTGTCAACCTTCCCACATGTGAAGGCTTCTTGCTTCATTTATACTCGTTGTATTTTTATATTTCTTACTATTTCGCATTTATACAATGTTGTCAATTCTCCCCGACATCCAAGTCGTGGATCCGAGAACGGAATCATTTAGTGTGCATGACAAACCACCTAAATATTTCGGTAGTCTGGACCTTTAGAACCTTGCCCTTCTGGTTCTGTCATCGACATCTGATTTCCATCCATTCTGAAACAAGAAGATGCAAATCTGAACCACCTCTATCAAGTTTCAAGGAAATTTGAGGTGTCGAGACAACCAGAATCATGGTGCTAAAGTGATCGCTAATCTGGAATTCAATTCTAGATTAGAGATGTTTGAACCTCACTTGAGTTCAGCTCTTGACAACGAAGTCGTCGAACGCGTGGCCAGAATATATTCTGAAAAAGACGACATTCAGGTCATATAAGACAGAGCTTGAGCAGAGAGTTCAACATCGACGTTGGCATTCAAACATGAAACCGTCCAATTAGTCTTAATCCGGAAAGTAGGATAATCCCTACTTACGGAACTCAACTTGATGATATGACACCTTCTGGTTCATTACTCTCTTTCGGTATAACCGATCCGATTTGATTCTTTCCTATAGTTCAAGCTAATTTCATTCCTTTTAAGGGATGACCAGCGAAGAACCCGGAACACCCCCTGCTCTCAATTCCTCCTCCAGTGAAGACGGAGAGGGGCAAGGATGGGATTCCCACGGCGAAGACGTCGGACAAGAGAGACAAGAACACCCAGCGAATCCGATCATGGAGGAACTGGCGCAGCCAGAAGATGGAACCCACGAGTTCCGAGCGATCCGTCACATGATGGAGCTCCATGACATCCAGCGTAAGTCCTTAAATTGAGTTGACTACCTTCTTCACTATCGTGATTACAGAAAAGCACTTCATGCGACTCACTCAGTCCCATCTGCGAACGGTTCAGGAGAGAATTCTCCTTGAAACGCGACGAGTTTCGCTGATCCAGGAGCGGTCCCACATCATCCTGGAGTTGCTGCTAGCCCAATCACAGAAGAAGCCAGTTGGCGGAGGATCAGAAGCAGAGACCAAACTCTGTCAGGTAATTGATTTTAATATCAATGGCTCATATAATATTCAATATTATAGGCGTGCTCCCATCGAGGACATCATCCAGCTGATCCAATGCAACCAGCGGAAGAGAAGCCGATGAGCCTGGAACCCACTGACAACCAGGTAGTAACATTTTAACATTGATTCTGAATTATGAATTGACTTTCCAGGCGGACAATCCACCACCAGTATAGGAGGACCCCCCAGCTCAACGTCATTTCTTCTAAATTTTCGTTTCAATTGTATCAGGGTATCCGTCTGGATCCCACTTGTTGCTTCCCTGTTATCCTGTCATGATTTCCACTTCAATTGACCGTTCCCTGATCTCAGTCTTCCAGCTGAATAAATCCTTACCGGTATTTGTGTACTGTTATCAACTAGCTTAAAAAGAGTCACAGTCCTCAGAAATTAGAACAGTAGAAGCCAACGATCATTAGATCAATTGTCTCAGACAACCGAGGAACAATGAACGAAACGACAGTATTCTATCTTTCTTTCCATTCATTTCCTTCCCCCTCCCCTAAAAAACCCGGCACCGTTAAATTCCTGAGTATGACCAACGTGGAATCAGTGAGAATTCTGAAGTTGACAGTCGTCACAGTGGTTTTTCTCGTTTTCGGTTATCACTTTTGATAAACGTCATCTAGTCAGAGATGGATGAGTCTGTCACTCGAGATGATTCTGTCGCCTGACTAGGATACATCGAAGCGTGAAATCCACAAGACTCGTGGGAAGAGGCATCCCGTAGTTAACCAAATCGCCTAGGATTGATGCGTAGTCGGTGAGTCGCTACGTTTAATCTGTCTGAACCGATTCTCGTTTTGAATCAGAGGCTTCGCCTTTGTAGAGAACTCAGATGTGTCTTTTCGTAGACGGGACTGTTTCTGTTTACCCGGCCAAGTATTCAGAAAACTAGATTTCCTAGTCATGAGAGCGATCACCATTATAAAATGAGTGGCACGTTTTATCGCTTCAAGATCCCATCGATCTTATGATTAGAAGTCTAAGTTTCCACCACAACACCGTGGAACCTCCCCGAGGATTGACAAGTCCGAATGACCTCAGATGTAATTCTGATGATTGAGGACGATGACATCTGTTCGTGTCAGATTATAATGTTGATTGTGAGCGAGGCATGATACAAGTTTCATTTTAACACCATGTTAAAAAGCCAATTCATCTCATTTCCAATATGAGATTAGGCTATTCCATCTGAAACACATGCTATTCAATTACAATTAGCAGAATCAACCCACCTCCGAAAGAGGTCTGAGATAGTTGTGCGTAGATAGTTCAGGCTACTTGATTGATAGACCTTGTCGTAGATCGAATGATCTGCTGATCTCTCCGTAGATCAGGGAACCGCCACCGAAGTACTGGTGTATGATAGTGTTCCTAATCCAGCGGTTAGACGGTCATGAAAGTAGCTGGTCAAAGCCCCGAGTTCTATTTCCTACCCCAAGACCGTAGGAAACGTACGTAATAGAACTGGTTTAAAGTTGAGAAATCAATTTTTTGTAATGCTTATCGTCTACGAGCACACAGCTGGACCTACCTCCAGAAGAGTAGTTGTAGAGCACTTCTTGGTAATGTCAGCGAGTCTAGTACCGAATTCCCGTCTAGATACGGATGCATCGGACTTGTAATTGTATAATCTCTTAGATAGATTATTGTATAATTCTTTGATAGATTGTCTCCAGGGCCAGGCATATATAGTAACATCCCTTGAAGTAGGGAGGCCAGGCACAGAGGTTGGACGAGTGACATGTGTAATACCAACCCAGACTTACCAAGAAAGCTCGAGGTTTTCCCACAGCCCCAGCCATGGAGAGAGCGGACGTAAATCGCGAACCGGCAGCTGGATGGCCTCTTGTTTCGGTTAAGCTACATTAATTGAAGCATATGCATCGGTAGCACCCCGTCACAAGGTGGAAAACCCGGGAAGGAATTGTCGATTGATCACCCAGGTCTGACACACTTCACTGTGTGGTCTATGACGGGCGCTTTCGACAGTGAGCTCCCACAATAGACTCATCTGACTGACGATCTGATGAAACCTTTCCAATGGAGCCCAACCAGGCATCCCTATACCATCTCTGAAGGTTCATCCAGATTTGACTAGATGACGATCGAGTGATGACTGCTTCTTACTTTGTCTCAATTCCTTATCTTATCATCGATAACGATACTGGTTTTTAGAGCTTACCAACTGTTCACTGAACAACAAGCAATGTCCATCACCAACGATCATCCACCGAATCCCCCGTCGCAGCCCATTAGGGAGGAGGATATCGGACGTAAGGTCATTGGTCCTTTCAAACGGCATGTCGCTAAGA